TGAATTAGCAATAACGTTTGGCTGAAGAACCAAAATCTGCTGTTAATTCAGCAGTGACTGAGCAGCCATCAGTGGTGAAAGAACAGGTTAGGGACTGTTTAGAAAAGCTGGACATATTTAAGTCCATGGGGCCAGATGGGATGCACCTGAGGGTGCTGAGGGAGTTTGCTGATGAGATTGCAGAGCCACTGGCCATCACCTTGGAAAATTCATGGAGATCAGGAGAGGTGCTGGATGATTGGAAAAGAGCAAACATAGTGCCCATATATAAGAAAGGGAAAAAGAAGGATCCAGGGAACTACCTACGGACCACTCAGCCTCACCTCAGTCCCTGGAAAAATCATGGCCAGATCCTCAAGAAATCCATTACTAGGTGCTTGGAGGAGGAAAAGGAGGTGATTAGGAACTGTCAGCATAGTTTCACGAAGGGAAAGTCATGCCTGACCAACCTGATTATGTTCTATGATGTGACTGGCTCTGTGGATGTGGGGAGACCAGTGGAAGTGGCATACCTTGATTTTAGCAAGGCTTTTGATAGGGTCTCCCACAACATTTTCTCAGGCAAGCTAAGGAAGTATGGGCTGGATGAATGAATTCTAAGGTGGATAGAAAAATAGCTGCAGCATTAGGCTCAGAGGATAGTAATCAATGGCTCAATGTCTAGTTTGCAGCCGGGATCAAGTGTAGTGCCCCAGGGGTCAGTCCTGGGGCTGGTTTTGTTCAATGTCTTCATCAACAACCTGAAAAATGGCATAGAGTGCCCCCTTAGCAAGTTTGCAGATGACACCAAGTTGAGGGGAGTAGTAGATATGCTAGAGGGTAGGGCTAGGATTCAGCATGACCTAGACAAATTGGAGGATTGGGCCAAAAGAAATCTCATGAGGTTCAGCAAGGACAAGTACAAAGTCCTGCACTTAGGATGGAACAACCCCATGCACCAGTACAGGCTGGGGGCTGTCTGGCTGGGCAGAAGAGAACCTGGGGGTTACAGTGGACAAGAAGCTGAATATGATCAGTATGACCTTGTTGCAAAGAAGGCTAATGACATACTGGGCTGCATTGGTAGGTGTGTTGCCAGCAGATCAAGGGAAGTGATTATTCCCCTCTATTCAACACTGGTGAGGCCACATCTGGAGTACTGTGTTCAGTTTTGGGCCCCCACTACAGAAAGGATGTGGACAAATTGGAGAGAGTCCAGCAGAGGGCAACAAAAATGGTAAGAGGACTGAGGGACATGACGTATAAGGAGAGTCTGAGGAAAATGGACTTATTTAGTCTTGAGAAGAAGACTGAGAGGGGATTTAATACTACCTGTAGTGAGGTTGAAAGAGGATGCAGCTAGCGAGGGGTGGGCAAAATGCGGCCCACCAGGCCATTATTTGTGGCCCATTGGGCCCCTAAAATATTTAGAAAATTAATATTTATCTGACTCTGGCTACCTATCACGCGGCCCTCGATGGCTTGCCAAAACTCAGTAACTGGCCCTCCACCCGAAATAATTGCCC